ACAAACCTACGTTCTGAGGACCTCACTCCCACTGTCCAAGCTTGCTTGGCCCCGGCAGATGAACCTCAGGATTAAAGGGTGTCTCACCTAAAAAATCCACTGCGCAGGCTCGAAGGGTTAATGACCTTTCCCAAATCTTCACTCGCGAAGACTGGCCATTATTATTATTATTTTAGTGTGGTTTCCTCAAGTAATTTTTTTTCTTTCTTAAAGCTTCAGCTCTAAGAACTCTCTAGCCTCCCTTCCCGGAGGGTCTCTTTGACCCCCTACCCTCTGAGAGTTTAAAAATATTTTATGCAGTGCATGACCCAGACTTTTGTTCAGCTTCAATGCAGGAAAGTTTCATCTTTTCAGATAAGATTTAACCACTGGGGTGGCTTGTGCTGGCTAGCATTATGTTGTCTGCCATAATTTTTCTACATTTAGACCACGGTGTGCTTCCTACAAAGACAACTGTGCAGCTGTATGCGATCTTCCTTTTAAATCAAACTGGTAGAATACTCAAGCTTTTGCTTTACTGAAATGACCACAAACGACTGCAAGTGGTCTAATACTTTAGATTATCAGGAAGGAATTTCACTGAGTCGTAACCAAGGGTGTTTTCCCATGCAGCTCATAGAATAGCCTTTGATTTCATGCAGGAAGTTAACCAAGTTAAGGCTACTGTTTTGCAGCCATTCTTTCTCCTCTGGGTAGCTCTGGGAGACAAACTTCCCAAAAAAGCAAAGTAGAAACAGGAAAGGAATGCTCAGCTTGGCAAGGCTTTCTACAAGAACATCCACTGAAAGAAAACTAACTAGCAATTAAAATACATTTTGAGTATGGCTTAAACACATTTGACTTTCTTCCCTGAAGTTAACACATCTTCCCACTTGCTTTCAGAAAGCTGAGGGAACTCAAGGAGCAAAACTGGTTGGACAAAAGAACTTAAGCCTCAGAAAAGAATCTGCAAGCTGTTCAGGTGCTATGCCCATACAGCCAGAGCCCATGGAGAAGTATACTTGGTGCCTGTGGCAGAATTATAAGAGCAAAGATGCCATTACCTCTTGGTGTGCTCCTTAGCCCAGAAACAAAAGAACCAGCATCCTGTATATCTATTAATATTTAAAGACTGAATGGGAAGTAGCTATTCCTGATGAGTGGTAGACGGATGAAAGAGGTGGATCTATGAGCTTTTCCACCTATTTTTCTCTGGGATTTCTTTAGCGAATTTAAGATTTCTGCCCAGATCTGAAGAGGAAAGACTAAGTTGAGATAACTGACATAGGCTAATTCTACTTATTGTGGATGATTTGTTGTCATTCCTCTTACTCTTCTTATTTCTTGGTTTTTTCTGTAAAACTTCTTTACTATGACGAGAAGAATTCTTCCAGTGGCATTAGTGTTATTTTTATTGCAGCAGGTCTTGTAAAGAACTGCCACTACCCAATTTAGCAAAGTATTTTTACTGACTTGCTAGATGCTTGTTTAAAAAAGAAATAGTGGTAGAATTGAGAAGAAAAATTGCTTTGAGAGGTGAACAATCATTAATCATGTATGGGATGAAAACTAAATGTAACTTTCCTCTCCTCTCATACACATGTAATCATGAAGTTCTTCTTTTCTACCTCCTTTGTATTCCATTTCTCTGCTCTCAGAAATACTGAGATCAATACCGTATTAATAGCAGGAGCATTACAACTGCATCTCTGGCCTGCAGCAGCATACAGGCTCCCTAACACCTCCAAAATTTCATTGGAGTTTAGTCTATAAATCCAGTAGAACACTTGTAAAACACAGAAAGAAGACAGTTAATATTCCAGCAAGGTATCTATGAATTTATCAAACTGGCACCTCAACAGTGTTTTGTTAAGTCCATAGATAGAAGCACAAGCATCACTTTAAACTCACTCCGTACCCAGAAGGTAGCTTTCATGATCCAAAAGAAAAACACAAACTTGTAGCATATATATAAAAAATAAACTATGCAGAACATAGTTCTGGCACTGCCTGCAGTTTAAACTCCTTAGTTAAAAAATATCAGCCGTTTTCTTATTATGAGCAACCAGCACCAGAAGATCTTAAAAAAAAAAAAAAAGCTCCATACCTAAATGTAAATAAATCTCTACCGATGAAATTTCAAATCAGTGCTACTGTCTAGGAGCTTAAAAGCATACAAAAAAAAAAAAAAAAAAAGCCAGTACTTGCATATTCTAAACCACCTTCAGGATTCTGCCGATTCTTTCTTTAAAAATCTAAGTCAGCAAGTCTGATACGGTTCATTCATTTTCTCATCCATTTTTAATGGAAAATGCAGTTACGGCAAAGCTCTTCAATCCCTTGATCAGAAAATAAGCGATTGTTCCAGTCTGGGGGGGTTGGTGGGAACAAAAGGCGACGACAAGTTCGGAGCTAAATCGATGTTGTTTGCACCTCTTAAATGTTATGCCTGGCACGCTCTACGTTCCTTCGCCTCATTCTCTGACGGTGCCGCCTCCCGCGGAGGGCGGGTGCGCTGCATCACGGAAAATGTAGTCTGTCTGGGAAAACCAGCCTGCCGGAGGGCAGCCACTCCAATTACGGCTTCTGCAGGGCATGGCATGCGAGCAAGTGCGGCTCGCCGGGAAAGTAAGTGTTGTTTTCAACCGCGAGTCGCCAAACAATGCCACTTAAAATCACAGAATCATAGAATCAGCCGGGTTGGAAGGGACCTCCGAGATCATCAAGTCCAACCCTTGATCCACTACTGCTGCGGTTGCTAGACCATGGCACTAAGTGCCACATCCAGTCTCTTTTTAAAAATCTCCAGGGACGAAGAATCCACCTGGGCAGCCCATTCCAATGTCTGACCACCCTCTCTGTAAAAAAGTTCTTTCTAATATCTAATCTAAACCTCCCCTGGCACAACTTGAGACCATGACCTCTTGTCTTGCTAACAGTTGCCTGGGAAAAGAGACAAACCCCCACCTGGCTACAACCTCCTTTCACATAGTTGTAGAGAGTGAGGAGGTCTCCCCTGAGCCTCCTCTTCTCCAGGCTGAACAGCCCCAACTCCCTCAGCCTCTTCTCATAGGACTTGTGCTCCAGTCCCTTCACCAGCCTTGTTGCCCTTCTCTGTACGTGCTCCAGCACCTCAATATCCTTCCTGAACTGAGGGGCCCAGAACTGGACACAGTACTCAAGGTGTGGCCTCACCAGCACTGAGTACAGGGCAAGAATCACTTCCCTGGTCCTGCTGGCCACACTGTTCCTGACAGGCCAGGATGCTATTGGCCTTCTTGGCCACCTGGGCACACTGCTGGCTCATGTTCAGCTTCCTGTCAATCCAAACTCCCAGCTCCCTCTCTGCCTGGCTGCTCTCCAGCCACTCTGTCCCCAGCCTGTAGTGCTGCAGGGGGTTGTTGTGGCCAAAGTGCAGGACCCGGCACTTGTTGAACCTCATCCTGTTGGAATTGGACCATCTCTCCAGCTTGTCCAGGTCCCTCTGCAGAGCCCTCCTGCCTTCCAGCAGATCAACACTCCGCCCCAGCTTAGTGTCATCTGCAAATTTGCTGATGATGGACTCAATCCCCTCATCTAAATCATCAATAAAGATATTAAACAGAACTGGGCCCAACACTGATCCCTGGGGGACACCACTAGTGACCGGCTGCCAACTGGATGCAGCACCGTTCACCACCACTCTCTGGGCCCGGCCCTCCAGCCAGTTCCTAACCCAGCACAGAGTGCCCCTGTCCAAGCCGTGGGCTGCCAGCTTTTCCAGGAGAATGCTGTGGGAGACGGTGTCAAAGGCCTTGCTGAAGTCCAGACAGACCACATCCACAGCCTTCCCCTCATCCACCAGGCGGGTCACCCGCTCATAAAAGGAGATCAGGTTGGTCAGACAGGACCTGCCCTTCCTAAACCCATGTTGGCTGAGTCTGATCCCTTGTCCATCCTAAAAAATAAGTTCCAAAATATTTAATTAATAGAAAATATTTGGTTTTAACTTTGGTCAATAAAAATAAAAAAACCCCTTGATTGCTCTACAATGACGCATCAAAGCCTCTCGGTAAATCCCACTGACGAGATAAAATTTCAAAATAGTAAAAATACTTATTTTTAAAATGTAATTACTAAAACAAAAATGCTTTTTGCTCCACAGTAACACGAACACCAAAGAGCCCCTCTGTGCAAGGAAAGGCGGTGTGGGCTGTGTTTGCTACTCCCGATCCTTGCCGTGAGGCACTTCCATGCGGTGTTCCAGGAGCCGCGGAGGCGGGAGCGGCGCTCTGTGCTGCGGAAAGCGGCGGCGCCAGCGGGATCCCGAGAGACCCTCAGTATATCTATATATACACAATATATTTTTCAGGAAGGACACTAAATTTGAGGCTCCGGCACACAGCCACGAATGGCGCAGTTCTTTAAGGATCGCTGAGAAACACCCCGGCCGTCCGGTCTGTCGCCACATCCTCACGACCCACCTGGGCAGACGCAGTGCCTTCATCGCAATCCAACTGACTGACAGCGAGTCCGCACAGCCCAGCCTTCACCCTGGGGCTCCCGGGGCGCTCCCAGGCCGGGACATCCGCAGAGCCAACCGGGAGCTGGCACCGGGACAACGGCGCTTACCGTATTACCTATAATCGAGGGAAAACAAAAACCTCACTCCCCGACACACCTTGGAGTTCGCCTCACTGAGGAACGTCAAGGACTTGTTATAGGCACGCGCCGGGGCTCCTGCCACAGAAGGGGCTTCGTCCGTCCCGCCCCTGAGGCAGGAGCCAGGTCTTTTCCGTCCTCGCTCCGCCCCAGCCGTTACCGTATTTCCCGTCCGCAAGGCGCGGCTCCCCCCACCCTTCCGGCTTTCCCGGCAGAGGTGACCGGGTTCACGCCGCGGCGGCGGGCCCCGCCCCCGCATTCCATTCCCTATATGGCAGTGGAGAGGGGGCGCCGCAGGCCACGCCCCCCTTTTCCCACCACTCGCGCGAGGGCGCGCTCGGGCTTGCGCGCGTGACATCAGCGGGAGAATGAGCTAGGAATGAGGGGGGTGGGAGCACCGCCTCCTCCCCCCCCGCCGGGGCCGTTCTATTTACGTTTGTGAGCTAATTTGCATAATGTCACGCCCGCAGCACCGCCCCCCGGGCCCCGAGGCCCCGCCTCCTTCACCATATTAGGGCAGAGAGGGGCGTGTCTCCGGCGGCTCGCGGGAGCTCGCCGCCTTCTTGGAGCCGTTTATACGGTACAGCCACTTCCGCTGTCGGCTTAGAAGGGGCGCGATCATGGCGGAGCGTGGTCAGCTCCCCCACCCTGCCAAGCGCCTCTGCTGCAGACCCGGCTATGGCTCGGGCTGCAGGCCGGGGCAGCGGGCGGGCGGCGCTGGGCCCGGCGGCGGCGCGCTCTGCGCCGGATCCTCTTCCGCAGCCGCCGCCGCCGCCCTGGGGCTGCTGCCGCTCGGCAAGACCCAGAGCCCCGAGTCCCTGCTGGACATCGCGGCTCGCAAGGTGGCGGAGAAGTGGCCCTTCCAGCGGGTGGAGGAGCGGTTCGAACGGATCCCGGAGCCAGTGCAGCGCAGGATCGTGTACTGGTCCTTCCCCCGCAGCGAGAGGGAGATCTGCATGTACTCCTCCTTCAACACCGGCGCCGAGGATCCCGCCGCCGGCCCCGGCGGCGCCGCCGCGCCCGGCGGAACCGCGGACGCCACCGCCGCTGCCGCCGACGAGAACCGGCTGCCCTTCCGCAGGGGCATCGCTCTGCTCGACGGCGGCTGCGTCGATAACGTCCTGCAAGTCGGTGAGTCACCGGCCGGCAGGGAGGGCACCGGCGGCCCCCCCCGGGGTCGCAGGTCTCCCTCTGCGCGTCACCCGCCCGCCGTCCGTCCCTCCCTCCCTCCCTGCGCCGGCAGCTCCCCGCCCGCGGCCCGGCCCATGCAGCCCTTCACTCCCTGGCTATACTGCAGGCCCGGCAACTTCCTCCGCCGGTCTCCTCCCTCTCGCGCCCGGGACGCGCAGTGACTCCCTGGCTCCGTGACACGGACTCGGTCTCTGCCTGCCCCCTTTAACTCGCAGCCTCGCACCTCGCCGTGCCCGCTTCCGGCTCATGTAATCCCGTTTGGCTCTGGCCCCCTCCCAGCACCCACCCGCGATAATCCGGGTCACCGCTTTACCCCGAGCCACAATAGCGAGGAGATGCTGCTCCCCCATCCAAGGGGGGGGACCGCCGGTGGAAATGAATCAGCAGAAGGACGGCCGGCGGGGGAAGGAGGGGAGTGTGGGTTGCGTCGTCGTCCAAAATAAAGACATAAAAGCGTTGCAAGACCCTGGCACCGGGAGTGCGGGGGGGATCCTGGAACAAAGGCATTTCTAGGGCATCGGCGGCGAGCCGGAGGGAGGGGGCGCGATCCACGCCGCCAAGGGTGGTGGGGCTGGGGTGGGAGCTTTGGGATGAGCCGCTTCGTGACAAAGAGACGGGGGGGGGAGAAGCGCAGCTCTTCCTCCTCCTGGAACAATGTCCCCTTCTTCTTCCTCCCCCCCAGCCCAGCCGCCTGCCGCTGCTCTTCACCCGCTGCGGGCGCCCCTGGTTAACTCCTCCCTGCCAGTGTTTAAAGGGCTGCAGAGGTGGGTACCCCCCCCCGCACTTTTTGAGGGCTATCTGCCGGGGGCGGCTGACCTTCCATTCAGGAAATGGAAGGGAGCCGCCCCCGGCAGACAGTCCCCTCCGCCGGTGGGTGATGCTCTTTGTGCGCCCCGGCCACTTTGTTCTCATTTTGATGTTGTTTATTTGCGTCTTTTTTTGTTTTCCTCCCAGTTTTCTGTCGCTTCCCCTCCTCCTTCTCTGGAAAGGGAAAGACAGACAAAAGAAGTTGCTGCTCGCCTTTTGTTGACGGCGGCGGCTCGGTGTGTGTATGTGTGGGGCGCCGGAATCCCTCCCTTCATCCTCCCCCAAAACCTCGGTCCTGCCAGCTGCGGGCTTGACTTGGCAGGCACCTTGCAAACGTGCCATCAGTTTTTTTGTCGAAGGGAAGACGTGTCCCTGCTCCTAGGCTCAGTGCCCCTCCCTTCTGCCTAGGGGGACTTGTTTTTTTAAAATCTAATTAACTTTGTTATAAGTTTCATCTTTTGGCTTTCTCTTTCCAAAGGTCTGAGGTGCATCTGTGGTTCCTCAGGACTGGCAAAACCAGAAGTAGGGCTTTTTTGGTTTGGTTGGCAGTGCTGAGGTTTTTTTTTTTCTCTTGCTTGCACTTGATTCTGTTAGCAAGCGATGAGGAATGACAGGAGTGCACATAGAAAGGGTTTCTTGGCTGATTGCATTTAAGCCAGGAATTCACTGTGAAAATAAAACCAAGGGGCAATAAATAAGAGATGCAGTCTTCTCTTGGAGACAGACACCCAGCGTGGGCTTTGCTTTGCTTGCTTTCGGCAGTGGAATAGGCCTCAGTGAGTAGTTGTGAAAGAAAAAAAGTAACTTTTCATATGTCTTCCAAGGGGGGGGCATTGAGTAATGCTGGCAAGGGTCAATGTGAAGAAACAAAATATGCATAAATACAACTGAGGTGTTGACTGCTTCTTCTTACATGCATTCCAGACAAATGCTATACCTACTGCTGCAAATACATTTGCTTTGTTGTATTCCCCCCCCCAAGTGAGATTCCTTTGAAAGTCTGCTCGAAAATAGTAGTAGAAACTGGTGATATGAAAGATGTCAGTTGTTTTGACAGAGGCCTTTGACGAGGGAGCTGTGGAGGACTTGGGTAGGCTGGGTCTTGCTGTAGGAAAGTTCTTGTGTAATTTGGGTAGGTAGCTGTATCATTAAGGCCAAGTCTTGCTGACAGGATATTCCTTGTGAAGCAGAAAGGTGCAACTGTTAAAGGCAATTCAAACAGAGTAAGTTATATTGGTAGAGAATGGAATTGTTTCCATGTAATATGGCTGAATATGTAGCATTGATGGCAACTCAACATTGAGTTTATGTAAGTGCATCTTTACTGATCATATAAATGTTAACTTATGTTCTTTGCAGTATGAGTAATGGAAACTCTGTAAATGTTTACTATTGTACTATAGAAAAGTGCAGTTACTGGACAAAGTATATTTTATTACATAATTTTAAGAGCATTGTTTGTAACCTGAAGTATTATTATAAACAGGGAATGTAAGATTTGTTTTCTGAGAGATGCATGAATGGTAGTTAAATGGAACCATTTGCTTCTGAATTTTACGTTTTAAATTTTCCAGTGTAGCCCTGAATAAACATTCTGACAATTTTATCATGGTAACTCATTTCAAGCAGGAGGATTTCAAAAACCTTGTGTCCAAGCTTTGCTAAAAATCTTCATGTGATCCTTCATGCTCCCCAACTTAGTCTCATGTTTTGTAACGAAAATCTGAAGTAAAAAGATGATGTCATATTAGTGATACACACAGTGTTCTTGGTAATCAGGCAGTAAAGTTGTCTGCTAGCCTATTTTGAAGTTGAGTGATATTGTCGTAGCGTAATAATTAGCCTCGCCTAATTTTGAAAGATTTTTCACCAAAGAAGTTGGCTTCAGAATTCCATTTTCATCTAATTTGTTGATGTATTTCTAACTTTTTGATATGCTTCGATTGGACATGAGGGATTTTCTTTTTTAGTTTATTTATGTAAAAAAAAATAGAGAATGCAGGATCCTAAAGCAAACCTTCCCAGCTGCATGAAACAGCTCTTCTATCTTGCGTGTTTTAAATTTATTTCAAACCAAGTATTTTTAGTAAAAATTACAGTCTAAGCAATGAAGCACTTTGTGAGTAAATACAACAATCTGGAAGGAAAATTAGAAATTGACTGTTTCATTTGGCCAAATTTTTTAAGATTCCAGGAGCAAGCAGACAGTTTTGGATGGTGAAGTGTATATTTGGGTTCTGAGGTTAGTCTTGAATTAGTATACAGTACTGTATTGTCGTCACAGCTGTGGCTGTCAAGGTTAGAAAGAGGTGTGATCCCTCAATAGCACAGCTGACCTGGCGAGAGCCCTTAATGCAGCTATTCTAGGAGAAGAAAAAAACCTTTGTGCCTCTGCTGGTATGACTCTTGCTTGGGGAAAGACAGACTGCCTTGGTTGTAGTGCTGTAGAGCTCAGCTCCTCTGCTGTAGCTGCATCTGCATTATAGGAGCACTTGAAGTGGGTTTTTTGGTGGTTTTTTGTTGGTTTGTTTTTTTGTTGTTTTTTTTTTTTTTTGTGTGTGTGTGTTTGTTTGAGGTTTTTTTGGGTGGGTTTTTTTGTTGGGGTTTTTTTTTGGATATGTCATACAAGTATTCCTACAGGATCCCTGCCTCTCTGTAATTTGAAGTCGGTTTGTTTTTGTTGCATAGACCCTGCTTGTGCATACAGGCCTTTCTTAAAGGCGTTACAGCCTTTCCATGGTAGCATGTGGCTTTGTAAACTCCGTAGTCATGCCTCTTAGGTATGAATGGCAAGGGAGTGAGTTGGAGGGAAGGGACTCTTAGGGAAGGAGAATAATATGAAGAATTCATTGACTGGCACTTAGAACAGCTCCAGAATATAATGTTAATACTATGAGCTAGAAAACTGCCTTGTCTGTGGAAGGGGGTTCAGCCAAAGAACATCATCAGTGTGGAGCTGCAGGTCATTTTTTTGAAACATCTTCAGTGATATGTGATTCGGTGACGTAACCAAAATACTCTTTAGAGAAAAAGAAAATAAAATTTCTTCGTTGTAAACTAGTGGTTAAAGGTCTGTGAATGTTTCTTTTGTTGGTTCTTAAGTGAAGTTAAAGGCTTGAGACTTTTTTTTTCCGGATTCTCTTTTAATGAGAAGTATTCATCTTCTGACTCAGAGGTGCTTTTATCATCTGTTATTACAGATGATTATTTCTCTCCTTTTCCCTTTTTAAAAAGTATTTTTAAATATGAACTGAAAGATGGTGATTACTTTCAAAACCAGGAGAAGTAATTTTTTCACCATGAAGAAGAGAATGCTTTAGAAGACCATGTTGGTAGCTGCTGCATGTAATTCTGGTGGAATGTGTATTGTAGTTAGCAAATTTCAGATCCTTTCAATGGATGATGATTCGAGTTAAGTTTTGGTTCTTCCTAGCCATCTTTACTAAAAAACCCACAAAACCTTTGAAATTGTGGAGCAAGTAAAACAAAGGTGATTTCTCTTCTTTCTGGGCTAAGTTGTATGAATGCCAGTGATATAACATAAAACACCTTCCTATTGATAAAACTATAGCAAGTATTTTATGAGCAAAGCTAGCACAAATGTTATATTGTGCTGTGAGTTGAAATGTGCATTGTAGCAGACAAGATGATCTTCACTGATGCATGCAATATATATGTAATTGCTGATGAAACCTGTGGAAAAGATGGCTTTAGTAAAAAGATTTAATGATAGTAATACTGAGTTGCGTGACAAAACTAAGGCTGTCATTAGTGGGAATGCAAGCACTGTGTTTTGTGTTAACTTTTTATGACCTGTGATACCAAATTGTTCTGGTAAGTGTAGTTACCATTTTCCAAGGGGAAAAGGTTGTGTTAAACTCTACCTGTTTGAAGAAGAGAATTTTATTTGCTGACATGCTGAAAGAACAATCATAGTTTCTTCCACCATCAGCCTAAGTTGGAGTTTGGTTAGGAATGTATGAGTAAAACAAGTAATCCAAAGTTTGTGAATACGCTATTGTGGTACAGGCATAAACAAATGATGTCTGACTTTTTGGTGGACTTTTTTTGACTTAGTTCCAAGACTACTAGAGTCTTGCAAAAATGTCTTCATTGATTCCAGTTTCAGTTTG